GCAATATGCTGACTCTCTGTAAACCGCTTAGAGAGGCCTGAAAGGCCTATGAAGCGGTATATAAGTCTACTGCTATTGCTATTGCTATTGCTTAGAAAGTTACCAGCCGGTTCTCCCGAATAGGTGCAAACCGGCTGAATCCCACCACTGATTGATTTCTTCAATATCTATAGCCTTCTGTGAGGAGCCCGTAGGCATTCAGAAGTCAAGATGCAGCATAACTATACAGGTCCACACTTCAGCATGCTTAATCTCTGAGTGTCGAACTGAGCCTGGATTTTTGAGACTGAGTTTCCTTTTTTTTTTTAAGCGAAAAGAGGATAATACTGTTTATGCCATGTCTCTGGGGGACTAGAAATACTGGGAAATGGTGGAATGGAATGCACTGGGAAGAAGGAACTGGGAATTAGAAGTGGGGGGAAAGAAGCTTTACAAGGCAGCTTTCTCAGAAGAAGCTCCACCATCAAATCTATACAGCAGGATAACGTCATGCTCATAGAAATACAAAACTAGTACCAAAATAGGTGGCATAGTTATGGCTAGGAGGAGTAAAGGAAAGCTCAGTTCAGTACAGGAGGTAGTTGAAACTATGTACCCTGTTTCCCTGAAAATAAGGCCTCCCTGGATAATAAGCCCAATTGGGCTTCAGCCTTTTGGCGGCTGAAAATGGGCCTGTTTCTGGCCTTTCTGAACTTCCAGTAGGCCTGTTTCTCACACTCCTCGAGACTCCATGTGCGCCTTGCACTTACTTGCATCCAAAACGGGCCGCATGGGGGACTCCTGGGAGAGGTAGGGCTGGGTACGCGGGCAAGCCAGGAGTGGGATTTGTGGGGGGTTTCTCCAAACAGCATAGAATCATAGCTAGAGGTTCGCCCGAACCCCTGCGAACCCCCCCTGACCATAGATAGTGGCTTTTATACACTCTATGAGGGATAAATGATAACCGTTCTACCATCAAAGGGTCATTTGACTAGAAATGCACTGATTCTTCCCAGTGAGAGCCTAAATTATCTAACGATGGCTAATCTCAAAGTCCAGAAAGGGGGTTTTATTTATTTATTTATTTGCTGGTTAGAGGTTTCTTAATTCTAGACACCTGAAATATTTTAATGTCACAACCAGTTAAGTAGAAAAATCCAAAACGAAAATGTGTCAAAAATGTTTAAGAGATCCTGCGATTCAGTGTCTTGATTTCTCTCTCGCACAGATGCAAGCAGGGCTATTATAACTTAAATGCAAGGAATCCAGAGGGCTGTTCCCCATGCTTCTGTTATGGACATTCAGCTACGTGCTCCAGTGCGGAAAATTATAGTGTCCATAAAATTACATCTACATTTCAACAAGGTAAAACACTAATTCACTAATTTGGTCTTTTTTGTTTGTTTGCATGATCCGCATTCTTTTCCTGATTATACAATTGCTTTGGTTCCCAACATCTGCTTCATTCTGTNTGTTGTTTCTAGCCTAATCTTTATTGCCCTGCTTACAGAAGCTGCTTCTTCGATTAACCCTTATTACATTGTAACAGCTAAGGCGAAGCCCTCATCAACATGAGTGATGTTGAGTTGACCACGCCCACCCAGTCACATAATCACAGAGCCCCGCCTATCCAGCTGGTCATTAGGGCAGAGAACCGGTTGTTAAATTACTTGAATCCCACCACTGCCTCTAATCCAAAAGATCAAAAATCAATTGCTATATATCATTTAGTAGCCCTTAGCGGCCACATAAGCTTAGGATAGCCTCTAAAGTATGAGATATTCCAGAATAAGAGGAAACAATACTACTACTACTACTACTACTACTACTACTACTACTACTACTACTACTACTACTACTAGCATGTGATTCAGTTCCCTTTTTTTAAAAAAAAATCAGCATATTGACAGGACCACTTCTCCATTTCAATCAAGAAAGATAATTCAAAGAATAAAGAAGAAAATTATGGGGACAGCAGCCGTACCTCTTTTCTAAGTGTTGCAACCTCATCCCTACTCCTTGTTTTTTGGGGCTCCTGAAAGTTGCATCACTGTATGTTAGCTGGGGCTAGTGTTGAGCTAGTTCTAGAGAGGCAGGGGACCTCTAACAGCTCAAACTCACCAGAAAACAGGAAGTGGAGATTGCTGCTTGTTGGAAGGGCTGCTCCACAACTCAGCTGACTCCTCTTGTATCACAAAATTTGTCAATTGCGGGTAGAGGGACTGAAAATGTTTCATTTCAGCATAAGAACGATACTGTCCTGTCTGATGAAAAAAGGATGAGGTTGCTTTTATTAAAAGCCCTTTCGTATGTCCAAGAGGTTTGCCACCATCTGCCAGGTCCCCGTCCCCCCCGCTACTATTAAGTTACCTTGATCAAGAGAGGCTGCCCTTGCAGCTGCCTGACGTCCGATAGCTGCCTGATGTCAACTGGAGCAACAAGCGTTCTCATGGAGCAGCAGCAAGAACACTTGGAAGTTAGAGACATATTCCACCTACAGTCTAAGCTCCACCACTCTGGACATTCTTCAAAAAGGAAAGAGAGAAGAGATGAACTTCATTCAAAATTTCAATTTTAAGCAAGTAACAACCAATTCCAATCATTAGCAGTTCATTTCTAAACCTGCCGTGGAATATTAAGTGATTAGTGAAAATTTCCAAGGCTAATACATGAAGGAAAAAACTTTTAAACTCAATATGGCCACATCAGAAATAGCCCAGATGGCATATCTCATAGTCTACTTTCCAGAAACTCCTGGAACTTGGTAACAACTGATAATGTTGGGTCCATGATTAAGACAGATAAATAGTTACATTTTTGATAACCAAATGTAAAACTGAAGAATGTAGCTTAACTACAGGCAAAATACATTTAGACTATTCCTAATCCATTTAATTAGAGCAATAATAATTATACCAGTACATTAAATTACACTTAACAATTCTCTGGGAAAATCCTTTCGTTTGACTAAAGCGGCTTAGACTCAAGTGGCCTTGTTGCGATACTGCACAACAACCCAAGATAAATAAGGTTTTTATCTTTTAATGGTCCAATGTTTTTTAATAACAGAGTACTTAAGTAACTCATTCAGCCCAGACCTCTTCGCATATTAGGAAAATTATTTCCTATATGGATCCATTATCCTTTTGCAAGTAGATACTAATAATATCCAAAACTATATTTAAGAAGAGAGAGATAAGAAGCCTATTATTCTTTGGGGAAAGATTTCTTCTCTCACATCATAACATCACAATAGCTAATTCTTCCCAGTTTGTTAATCTGAATTATTGATGTACTACTACTGGATATATGCTAAAACAATCATATAATTTGTTTGGAAAAGATATATCAGTATAGCTGATCATAACCTTGCATTTCTCTGAAAGATAATATTTTTCAAAAGAGTTTCATTATGCTTTTTTGAAAAAGACGTTTTCTATTCATCATACAGAGCTTTAATAAAAAAAGAGATTAGGAAAACGATTTAACAAGGCTATGGATGGCAAGTGTCTAAAGACTTATCTTCTATGACAAATTTCAGTCTCTGTTGCAATTTCTATTACAGTCTAAGTGCATGCTAGGACCAAATAATAGAAATCCACGATAAAAGAGACCATTAAATTGTTTCTGAACTGTTAATCTCTGAAAAGTGTTTCAAGATTTGTATTCGGTTTGTTAGGCTATAATTTAAACTACGTATGTCAAGTTGGATAATTCAGAGTTATTGTTATTGGGATAATAGCCAAATAGAATTGAAAACAGGCATTTATTTATCTTTTAAAAAATAGTCTGAATTTTATTGTTGAGAGGCGGCAAACTTCCCAAAAAGTGCAGTGGAAAGGGAAGGTCTTGTTAGAATTTGGGCAGATGGGGAAGGGGTGACAGAAAAATAATGGTCTGGGCAAAGAAAATGTAACTACAGAAATACACAAGGGAAGTGAATTGGACCTTTATAAAACTATTCTTCTATTTTTCCAATTACACTCCGGCATTCCTTTTAGATTATCACTTTGCCCAGGCACACTCGAGAGTTATTTCAGTTTTCAGAGTAGCATGTTTTGTATAGGAACAGCTCATAGATATTTAGAAAAGTACCAACATTGCTTCATGGTATAATTAAAATACAGCATTAAAATGTACAATTGGAAAAGTAATTATTCTTGGCTAAAGTCATGGGATGATAAAGGACCACCGAAGAAGATTGAATTTTTCCCTCATTCTATTAATCACAGCTTTCTGTAAAGTTCAATCAGTCTCAATTGTTGTACAGCTACAGATTTTCATTATTCTAAAATATTGGTTCTATAACATACACCTGCCAAAATATCAGCACATATATATACTTTCTATCCAGCAAATAGAGTTGAAAATCATGGTGGGGCTTTTAGAACTGTGGCTTTTCTCTCCACTTCTCTCTTCTCTTAATTCTAGATTAAGTGTTTGAGTTTTAAACTTTGCCTGGGTGGGGTATCCTTAGCCTCCAGATGTCTAATTTCCAATAGTCAACTTGGCCAACAGGAGGGAGGCTAAAAGTGCAGTTCAACAACATCTGGAGGGTCACAGGTTCCCCACCCTTGTCTAGACTTTGAAGGACAAAAAGTGAAAGAAGCACATTCTGCATAGATAAAGACAGCCTTCCCCCCCCCCTCCCCAGTCTAGACATTACTGACTTTAATACCACTCCAGTGTTTTAAGCATTTAGCATCCCTCATTGTGATTAAGGTACAACATTAATTTGTCATCATAGCATTTTTTCATCCTGTACAACATCTGTGGTTAGCAAAGCAACTTCCTTCCTTATCCTCTCTGTTGTAGCTGATCTTGTTTATGTACCTTACAAAGGATGAATAATAAACCTGCTTGATCCTTCGGAGAATTACCTAGTTTAAAAATATAAATCTGATAAATAAAATAAAAATAGCAATAGCAAAAGTGCTTAGACTTATATACCATTTCGTAATGTTTTACAGTCCTCTCTAAGCAGTTTACAAAGTCAGCAAACTGCCCCCCAAAATCTGGGCCCTCATTTTACCTACCTTGGAAGGATTGAAGTGAGTCAATCTTTACTGGTGAGAATCGAACTCCTAGCATCAGCAAAATTATCCTGCAATATTGCATTCTAACCATTGTTCCACCACAGCTGTTTAAGTACTCTCTAGAGCAGAGTTCTCCAATGTATCTGGCTTTGTGGACTGGTGAGGTGAGAGGGGATGGTCCCACACAAGTGTGCACCCATCACTTCCATGGCCTGGTTCCGAGCAGCTCAAGGCCTGGTAGTGGGCCACAAACCAGAGGTGGGGGGGGGCTGTTCTAGATTATTTAAAAATTATATAATCGATTAATATTCTAGTTAAATACTCCAGTCTATATTACCTTGAATGTGTTTCTACAAAACATACATTTCATTTTTATATACTCCTGAAGTTTAGCAAAATAAAATTTATATCTATGTACCTTCATACCTGAATTTCACCCTGAATTTCCAGAACATTATTGGTTTTCTCCATGACATTTCAATGCTAGCAAATCTTGCTTTGTTTCAATTGTCCATTTGACACAAATTTCCACTCTCCTCTATTACTTTCTAGCTAATTCTGTTCATTGGAGATGGACTATGTTAACGGGGATTTAGGTTTTGTTCATATTTGTTTTTTAAATTAATTTTGCTTGAAACATTTTTTATGTGTGACCTCAGGACTCCCAATAAACAAAGTAGAAAGGTAGGATATACTTATACTGATTATTTAAATAGCATTTTATATAATTATTTCCTACTACGCAAAATAAATGGGAAAAATAAAAGGGTCGTGAGAGCAGTTTACTAAGGATAAGAGAGCAGAAAAATGTGTTCTAAGAGAATGTGTGCTGCAGTGTGAAATGTAAAAAGCTCCTTTCCTGCAAAGATGCCTATAGCTGATTAGGTGCCAGCTTCCTGCTGAAGAATCTGAGAGAGTAAGAGGAACTTGAGGCACTTCCAGGAAAGAACAGAGAGAGTTAAAAGGAATCTAAGAATGCATATGAATCTTTGAGTAGATTTTTAAAATAATGGCTGAATAGCAATGTTTTAAATTTAATTTTTTTTAAAGCTTCCAGTGTCAGCCTGGTACATTAACAACATGCAAATGCTCCAAATTCTTAACATGAAATTAACAATGTAATTGGAAAAGATTTGAGGTTTTCCAAAGTCACCACTGATTTTTTATGACAACCAAAATGTATGAACAAGATAGAAAAATGAAAAATTTGCACACACAAAAAACCCCTTAAACAATGAACTGGAATACCCCCATTTTAAAGAATTGGATGATTAATTTTAAATAATATTACATTTGTAACCTGTCATCTTAAGGTGCAATTATTTAAACGTGTTTAACAAAAATGGGCTTTCAGTTCTGCATTTTCAAAGTGTAACATTATGAAAGACATAGCAACTGCCATGTTGGGACCTCGATTTACCATCCATAAAGTTGTCAATGTTATGCCAGGATAATTCAGAGGTAAAAATGTGAATACATTGTTAAATTATATAAACAAAATATATAAAAAAATGAAGAAGTGGATTTTGTATGGTCTGGGACTAAAAAAAATGAAGTTTTTTTTTCTGACCTGCTATATTGGATTTGAACCCAGACTGGAGATATATGTTCATATGTTTCTACATATCAACTGGTTTTTTAATCAATAATATGCAGTTTGATCAAAACTACTCTGCATGTTAAATGGTTTAATCTGCAGAAATGAACGTTTTGTTTCATATTCATCAATTTCATTTTTTAATTGTTTTACCATTTCTTTTTTGTCTTCTATCCTTTTTAATTTCTATTTTGTTTTATTTTATATATGTAGCTAATGCCTCTCTTCTTTTTGTGCACATATTAAAAATATCCAATGTGCCAGACAGGAAATAATGGATTTTAGCTACAGGATGCAACTTTCAACTGAATACTAAAATTTCTGAATATTAACAACTTAACAATGGAACTAAGTATTGTATTCTAAGATATGTTCAATTGGGTAGTAACCAGCCATTTGTTAGGATATTTTAATTTTGATTCCTGTAGAAAGCAGGAAGTTGGGTGTTGTTTTAAATAGCCCTGTCCTATTGTACAATGTTATGGTTTTATTATATATTAAACACATTGGTTCCTCAGTGGATTTTGTTCAGACATTTCTCACACTGTAGCACAATAAAAATTGTTTTCAAAACTGAATGAAATTTAAATATAATGTGAGACATTTGTACTTTTAACAGGAACCACTAAAATATCCTAATACTCAAGGTCACTGATTGAAGTGGGTCTAAATGTGACTGGTTTGGCCCTAAACCAGAGGTCTCCAAACTTGGCAACTTTAAGACTTGAGGACTTCAACGCCCAAGCTTGGAGACCTCTGGTTTAGGGCAAAACCAGCCAGCATGTTTAGAAGTTTTAAAGTTGCCAAGTTTAAAGACCCCTGCCCTAGACCAAATAAAAATATTACTCATGTATACACTAAACAAGCCATAACTGGTAACTCTGTACAAACC